CTCCGCCTCCTCGGGGCCACGCCCTCTGCCGCGCTTTTCCGGCCCGTGCCCCCACTGGGCGCGCGGAGCCGGGAAGGTTGGTTAGGCTAGTCACCAGCTGGAGGTGTCATAGTGACTGTGGTCAGTTTGTTTCATACGGGGTAATCTCCACCATTATGTGATTTTACCTATGTTTGCTTCCCAATTAATGAATAACAAGCAAAATAGATCTTAAATACTCACTAACTCGGCTATTCATTTAAGGGGATCATAGCCCCTTTTCCCGCCTCTCTGCACAAAGCTTGCAGGGGAGCTTATACTGAAGGAATGAAGCAAAGTGTCCCATTCGCGGAATACCAATGCACCTCCTGAGCCTGGCTTCAGAGCCATTGACAGATTCTCCTGGAACCTTGTAAGGATGTAGGAAGGGAAATGATAACTTGGAATATGCCCATGAGTCAGATGTGGCTTACCTCTATATTCTTCTTAGAGTGACCAGAATCCCTAAATCCATCTAGAAATTTCCAGATGTCTTTGTCTAATACAAAAATCAATGGCCTTTTATTTGGTAAATATTCCCTTATGTTGAATGTCCAGCCTAACCTACTGTCACAAGCCTTTAGGAAACTGTGTGGGATTCTTTTCGGTCAGCCAACTCATCATCTAAGAATGATTTTAAAGCATAATGACAAATCGATTAAGGAAACTGATTTGAATTTTAGAAATGCATATTTTCTATAAGTTGTTGAACATTTATACAAGTGTGCTATTGAAATTCAAGACAATGTATTATGAAATGTTTGGAAGATTGAAAAATGTAAAGCACATGTTATCAGCCTGATGATAAGCTATCTTGGGTTTCCGTACTCATATGATCTAAAAACGAGGACCAAGTTTAACGTATAGAAAAAGTTGATTAATATAAAGCAACGAAAATCTAAAATTAATTTGGTTTATCTTTGCAGTATATGCAAACATTAACTCATACACACGAACTTGTCTGTCTCTAAACCTGACCCTAGTCTTCTTTTAATGCCCTTTAGTTGAAAGACACTAATTTATGGCTTCCTACAAGAAATTTAGAAATGTGAATCTAAAAATTCATCAAGTAAGTTCTGAGGAGAGAGATCAGTACTGGAGACATTCACATAGAAGTCGTTTGTGGCCAGGCGCGGTAGCTCACTTCTGTAATCCCAGCACTTTGGGAGGCCGAGGCCGGAGGATCGCGAGGTCTAGAGATAGAGACCATCTTGGCCAACATGGTGAAACCCCGTCTTTATTAAAATACAAAAATTAGTTGGGCGTGGTGGCGTGCGCCTGTAATCCCAGCTACTTGGGAGGCTGAGGCAAGAGAATCTCTTGAACACGGGAGGCAGAGGTTGCAGTGAGCCGAGATCGCACCACTGCACTCCAGCCTGGCAACCGAGCAAGACTGCGTCCCAAGAAAAAAAAGTCATTTGTGAAAATGTCAATTGAAGGAGACCCTGCAAGTAAGTAAGATCTCCAAGGAAGGGCTTGCATGGTTAATAATAAAAGGAAAGAGGATCAGTAACTGAATCTTGAAGAATGCCAATACTTAAGGTTCCACTGAAGGAATAAAGGAAAAAAATGATATTAAAGTTTGTATGACGTAAGAGAGTACTCTGATTTTCACACATAATTGAAAATAAAGGGTAAACATGAACAAAAAATCTCAGTAGAAACGGTAATTGAGACAGGTGGTTGAGACAACAGATGGAAACAGGTATACTTTTGGAAAATTCTACCTTTTCATGCTGTGCTAATAAGGCTGTAGATCAAATGATATATTGGATACAAAAGCATTCTTAAAGAAATAAATCACAGGATTTTCGGTTCATTATTTTGACTTCTACTACCAGATTCCATTTGCTAAATCCCAGAAGATGTAGCCTAATGTTTCCTCTGTTAAGAAAAATCTCATTTAGACATATCAAAAGCTTTTTGGTTACACTTGAACTTTTCTACTGTGATACCATAGAGCAAAGTAAAACAAAAACAAAAACAAAAACAAAAAACAGATAAAAATAAATGCTCTTATTTATTCTCCCACTAAAAGAAAAAAAAAATACTCCAATTAGGGCAACAATAAATTCCAAAGGGGACTAGATTGAGATCGAAAACCGTTAAGAATAGACGCTAAATACCTGAGAGAGAGACCCCTTTGTTTCTCTTAAAATACTGGACAAATAATAAACCTTTTATAATTCTAGGAAAATGCATTTTCTATCACTCCTCCAGGAAGCATAACAATGTTGTTTTTCTCAGGTAGTAAAGTTATGACCAAATTTTCAATTTGGTCTCTCTTACAATGGAGAAGGCTTGCTCACTTACCTCTTGGAAAAAGTCAAAGACAAAAGCAAGACAGGATCTGGTCCACTGAATGAACAAACAGAGATGTAACCACCTGTGATCTCTGCCTCCCAGGTATAAAGGCAGGTGCTAAAACACCAACTGTCACCCCTAGAAGACTATTCATTCTTTGATTTTTCCCTTTATTGTTTAGCAGGTAAAACTGAGTAAAGTTAAGCCATTAAAGAAAAAGTTGTTTTAAAGAAAGGTGTTAATCTGGATTTTTATTTTGAAAATTAGAACACATTCAGGTAATGAAACTTCGAAGAATATTAGGAGGTGAGACTGATTTTGAGAACTATATATTCTGTCAAATATATAACCTGCGTTTAAATCTTTGAGTGTGATAAAATACCCAATAAAAGCAGGGTTTTTTTGTTTGTTTTTTTGTTTTGTTTTGTTTGGTCTTTGTTTTTTGGGTTTTTGTTTGTTTGGTTGATTGGTTTATTGGGGTTGTTGTTGTTGTTGTTGTTTTGGCCTCCTGTGTATAACTGGTACCACAGGTACATGCCACTACACCCAGCTAATTAAGACTTTTTTTTTTTTTTTTTTTTTGGTAGAGATGGGAGTCTCCCCCTATTGCCCAGGCCGATCTCAAACTCCTGGGCTCAAGCAATCCTCACGCCTCACTTCCCAAAGCCCTAGGATTATGGGAGTGGGCCACCGCACCCAGCTAGAAAAACGTTTCAAATACTGGAAAACCTTACTTTTTTCAATGAACATTTTTGCATGAAGGAGTAACAGGGACTTTAGGGTTTTTTTCTCTTAGACTCCAAACAGGTCAGAATTTATCAAGACATTACATAGGAGTAAGGGCACAGTGGGGGGGATAAAACATTTTCCAGCACTAATTAACAGGTTTTATGATTCACTAGGTTGGCCCAACTACTGTTCTCACCTAATTCCCAGGCACAGCATGTCACGAGGCCAAATGACACTTTCAAGTGCAAGAGCTTGTAGTATGAAGAGGGCAAAGATCACCTAGTAGCCATCAAGCTGGCCGTCCAGAGGCAAAACTCCTTATGTGAGGAATTTAGAAGTAATTAGGCTCCCCTATTATCTAAAGCTGGCGTCTGTGTCCAGGCTTCTTTCCCAAAAACTTGTAAGTAACTAAAATTTCTACACGTCTCCCATGCATGCACGTCAAAACTTATTATGCAACCCTTGCTGACATTAAGACACCAAAATGTCTAAAAATGTAATCATTTATCATGACCTACGTGGTTAATATGGCCCAAATTCCCTTTAAGCTCCTGCTTTAAGGTCCATAAATATCCCTAAGGAAAATCCACTCATTCCTCTTTTGCTGAGGCGCCCTGCTGTACTCTTCTGCACTGTTCTTTCTTTCTAATAAAACTTGCTTTTTCGAACCTGTGCTGTCTTCTGTAAATTCTTCTCACAACCCTATGACTCGTGAGCCAACCACTTTCCAATGCCAGGGCTCTGACACCGCACCTGGCATAGTATAAATAAAGTTTTTGTTTGTTTGTTTGTTTGTGTTTTATAACCTTCCACTTGGAAAGACTACAGAGGAATCTTGCACTGCATAGCTCAAACTAAAACAAGAAGAGTTAATTATCTGAGAAGAAAGAGAAAACAAGAAGGGGTAAATTTTGAACCAAGGGAAAACATTTAAGAAGTGTCTGATATTTTTTAAATTTCTGTCAGTTATTACATTTGTTATAAGTAAATGTTTAGGAATAAAGGATGAAGACATGCTTATTTTATTTAACTCCCCCAAAATTAAAAAAAAAACAAAAAATGGAAAACAAAACAGTGCAACCAGTAGAAAGAAAATGATCTTTAGGTTTTAGAGCCCTCAGATACCACTTAATATGCTGAACAGTGGTTTTTAACTTTAATTCTGGCTGCAAAACACCAGAATGCTAGGACATGTGATACATCAGAAATGAGGGCTGACTATGCAGTTTATAAGTGAGGAAGGAGTGGTCACTGAGTAAATCAGAAAATACATCTCACCAAAAGAGACTTTGTACCTAAAATGGCTTTCCCAAGTCCTCATGCATACCTCACAAGAGGCAAGGCAAAGACTAGAACTCCAGTCTCCTGACTCCAAGTTTAGAGCTTTGTCTGCTTTCACTGCCT